TTTAGTCCTGATTGAACAAGCTCCTGCATATTCTAGAAAAATCAGTCAGGGCGACCAAATTAAAACGAAACTGTTGCTTTCCATAAGGAAGTTCTGCAAAGTGGATATCCCATTATTAAAAGCTGTTAGACCTAGAGAGATTGTTGTAAAATCATTGATGGAAAGGTGGGGCAAACAGGACGCAGACATTTAATATCTTCACTTTGAGAGGCTGAACAAGGACATTTAACCTATTACACAAAGGAACTCTCTGAACTACATTCAACTGGGAAGTTCTTTGAAATTTAAGTTTCATGCATTTTTATTTGGGGCCCTGGAGACAGCCTTCTATCAAGAAAGTAGGTCCTTTATTCCTAGTATACCTGTAGTCTGTCAGTAAGTCACCCTATGGATTTGCTTGTTGGTATATACATAAGATATAATTACTTCAGTGACATAAATTTTTAAAAGTACATTATTTCTTCCTTTTAAAATTAATCTGGAAACAGGAAATTAAGCATTAATATTGTAATTCTAATACAGCATTGAGGAAATTTGCATGAGAACATGGAAATGTCATGATTTCTCTCATAGTATTTTTAGCTTAGAGATTTTAATCATCAAAGTTAAGACTGCTGTATTTCAATGATTACTACTGTCAAAGATGTAGGAATGCATCCCAACAAATTATTTAGGTAAGAACTTCCTCATTAAAAAGTAATTTTTAAAAAATCTTTCATCAATGAATGCTTGTAAGTATGCCTCCTGAGGAAATACCAGAGCATTAATATCCAAAACTTTCCTTCGAAACATCTAACCTTCAGCTTCAGAGCTATTTGAAGCCACTTACCTCCTAGGGCTCCCTCATCTTAACTCCATGGCATCAAAGAACTACAAAAAAGTGATCATCTAAGGAACTACAAAAGTCTATCTTTGTTTAACCTAGGAGCTATGCATATATATGAGAAGATGGATGTTAGCTGAACCTATTGTGAAATATAACCATTTCACAATACATGTAAATCAAACCATTATGCTGTATGCCTTAAACTTATACAGGGATGTCTCAGTAAAACTAGAGAAGAAAAAGAAAAAGAAAATATGTTTAAAGGGCTTAGCACAGCTTGGTATATAGTGAATATTAAATAAATTACAACTAAAAAAAAATCAGGTGTAATATGTTTATGAGCTCCATGAGGGCAAGAATTGTGTCTCCTCCATCTATAAATCACCAACTTCTAGCCCATATACACACTCAGTAAATAGATACTACTTACAGAGAGTGAAAAAAAGCTATGCATGTAAGTTGTCTCCTCTAAAATTTTAATTCTCCTTAAGTGTATCTATTTTCTTAGAAACCTCCCTTCTGAATGACTTCTTTGCTGATATTCTCCTAGGAAATCATCACAGTTCTCCCATTTTTACAATTATTTATTTTTAAGTACTTCAAGGTTCATATCGATGTGTGTGTGCCAGCCCTATGCTGAGCACTTAGCATGCACATTTCTTGAGTCTTACAACATAGAAGATATATATGACTATTGTCCCCATTTACAGATAGGCGAATCAAGGCTTAAAGGGGTTAAGTGATTTACTGAAGGTCAAACATCTGGCAAATGCTGGAACCAGAATTTTAACCCCTTGGGGTCTGTTTCCAGAGCCCAAGTGCTAACCTAACATGCTCTATTACCCTTCGAGTTTTAATCGATATTCAGTCAAATCACACCATGTTTGCTTCCCCATTGTGAGGAAGCTATTAAGGTTGAGGATTTTCATTTCCTTCATTTTTTCTCCTAATGCACATTGTTTCACAGTGGATTTGACTCTCCACCATAGAAAGCTGGTCTTACACATTTGTGATAAGCCTTGGCAGTGAAGTGCATACACTGAAGATTTGGTTACCCTCATTAAAAGAAAAAAGAGTGTTCATTAGATGATTGATTACATATGGACTTGCGCAGGCTAACTGTAGGAAAAAAACGACTTACTGTCATAAGCTCCACTCTTTTCCTGAAATCACATTTTGATTTGGTTGTATCATGACCTTTTGCACACTCTTAGTGTAAATACATTGGAAAAGCCCATTAAGATTATTTCTAACATTGGTTGCTAAGATAAAAACAGTCTTTAATTCCTTTATCTCCCAAACTTCCTTTTTGCTTATTTATTCTAAAATTACTGACTAATCTTAACAAGTCCATTTTTATTGCTTCTTGCTCTCGTCAAGTGCGTGGAGCCATGTTCTATTGCTTATTACTATAGATTTAGATGCTATTTTATGGTGCTCCTTAACTGCTCTGACCTTGCTTGGCCTTTCTATTTTAAGAGGTATGTGTGAGGCAGAAGCGGAACAGCAAGTCTTCCATGATTTTCTGACCTATATGTTTCCTATACTCTCCTAATTCTTTGGGAGCAAGCCTCACGGCACAGAAGCCTGAAGTCCTGGCGTCAGCCAGAGAAGTGGGTATTATTTCCTGGTGGAGCTAAGTGTGGTTAAGGAACTACTCTCTGACCCTCATGCTCTTTTGCTGAGAGCTCTTGGGGCCTAAAAAAATAGTTTATAGCCCCACTCTTCTCATGTCTCTTAGGCATCACTTTACATGTCAGGACAATGATTATGAAGCCTTTTGAAAGTAGGTTGGATAGCTTTCTCTGTTTTGAGACTGACTTCATAAGGCATTGGACATCTTAAAAATGTACTTAAGTAGCTGGTGTTTCCTTTCAAATCTCATTTTGAAATCCCCGGAAACCCAGTCCCTGTATGAAAGTCGTCTTTTAGAGCTATTTGCTGTACTATCCTCATGAGTCCCACCTTATTATCAAAGTTACGGTAGCTGTTAACTAAGAATTGGGCCTCAGGGCAGAATTACAGAGTTTTTCAGAAGGAAGTGTGAAAATTAGGAAGATGGAATTATTTCATAGAGACTTAGGTGTCAAAGTTTATGCCATATTATGGCATAAAGTATGCCGAGCGGTAGACTGTCACATTCTAACCCTTGGCTTTCTGAGGCAGATACAGCTCGAATAATAGGGAAACAAGAAATCTAAACTAATCACATCAACAGGACTTCTTGTACCTGCCTTGAGGCTCAATGGCATTCAAAAAATAAGGGTGCTCTTTCCAGGTTCCAACCAGGTATCTAATTGCAAGAAACACTCTCTTTAGACACAGGACTCTTAGCTTCTTTGCTCTTCAAGAGTAACAACGACATCAAAAAGGACAGGTGATGGATGGTATGGAGGAGCACTTCCAGAAAAAGCAAGATCAAATACCAATGCAGAAATAGTTAACTGGCTCGAAAACTACCACCACAACCTCCCTCAATTTGCCCCGTATTTATAAAAATTATGATTCAAAAGCAATATAAACTGCCTTAAGGACCACTGTGTATAAAGCGGTTCAGTGTGGGAATCAGTATGCTTTAAAATATGCCGGGCAAGTAAGTCTCCTATAGTTAATGCAGACTGTTATTGTTACTTTATTGTTTTAGACCACTGACCACTTGTGCTGGAAACATAAATGAGAATATGTATACTGACACATATTATATGTGTTTACACGTTGAAGCTCATATCAATATATATTCACATACACATCCCTGTCTGGCGATTAGAGCCTTTATGCCAGGTTTTTAGTCTAAAGGGTATCTTTAGATGTACATAGTTCCAATCTTTGGAAGAAAATTAAAGTGAATTCAAGTCTGTATTGTCTATGCTTTCTTTCTGCCTTTCTTTTCAGGTTAGCAGTTTATTTCTGCATTAATCACCCTGACAGAAGCAAGGCAACTCAATTTTCTGCTTCTGTAGGTAGGCACATCACTTTCTGTACAGCACTAGGCATGAAAAGGGCTGCAGCTAAGCTTTGGTTACTGGTGTAATTGAAATGCTATCCACACTATAGGGTGCATTAAAGTCAGATAACGGCAGTTCCTGTGGCCAATTTAAGTAGCTTGACTTCCCTGGGAAAAAAAAAATTGCCTGACAGATAAGGCAGACAAACTGGCTAATTCTCCAAGCATGTCTCTCATTGTGATCCTAGAAAAATGAGAAAAAAATGAATCACAGAACCACAAAATCAATTGACCCTCGGGTAGCTCATCAGGCAGCGAGCCTGATAAACCTAAAAGCTTTGTTAATGTCTGCCTGCCTGTATCCCACAGATAGAGCACTTTGTAAATGAACCTGCTTTGATAAATATATTAAGGAAAGCTGTGAATAAAGGCAGAGACTTCTCATTTGTAAATACAACCTCTGCTACACGGAATTAGAATGATAAAATGGAGTTCCATGTAATTAAGTTTGTATAAGGCCTGAAATCCGTGCAAATACTTCCCCTGAATTTTGAAAGAGAACTGTCAGTTCAATTAATCTGAACATCACCCTAAGAATGTCCTGAACAAAATAAAGCTGCTGATAAAACCTGGGCCAGGATTTTGATAAGTAATTCCTATATCATTTCTTGGCCACTGTGATCATTTTATTTAATCCCCTGCCCCTCCTTTTCCTCAGTTACCCTCTAAGCCACATACAAAGGGTGATGGTCCATGCACCACCACAGGAGCAATCTGTCAAATCACAAGGCTAAAAATGGGAAGATTTTTTTTTCTCTGTGTTTAAAAAAAAAAAAATCAGGGTAAATAAATTAGGAAATACTAAGAGCCTGTGTCTACATCACTCCTCAAAGCCTAGACAAAAGAAAGCTTCCCAGAACAGGTAACTCTGTATGAGGACTGCCCAGAAAAACAGAATAACTGTCTTCAACCACAGAATTTGTCGTTCAACTGGAGGATTTTAAAGCATCAGAGATGGCAAAGATGAGGCGGAGAGAAGAGCGAGGGAGAAGAGGAGGGAGAGAAGAGGAATAAATCACAAAAAGCATTCACCTACGTACCTTCTCCCCTCCCTGCGTACTACTTTCACACCTCTGGGTAGTCACACAGAAGGTATCCTCCTCGATTTCATTTGTTTCAGACACAAAAGAGAAAACAATTATTTAGAAATCTCATGTTTGGGTCACTCACCAGTTGTTTACTTGGAGAATTGTAAGTCCTGTGTCTTGCGCTAACTGTTTCTTCTGCTCTTCGGAAGGGTACGGATGCTAATGAAAAAACAAATGTTTTAAAAGATGTATCAGAAGTTAAGAAAGAGTCACTTACTTCTAAGAATGAAACCACCGTTTGTGATTTCTTTAGTCTATAGCTTGATTTTCCTAATCGAGGCTTTTTCTTATCATGTGTGTTAAAATGTGGGCAGGGACAAGAATGCAAAAACCTGCATTAGCAGTCCCCCCACCCACTCCTGCCACACTGTGGAGGGGCCAGCAGCAAAAAGCAAGGCATTTCAGATACTTAATTTCTTCAATCAGCCAGGGGTGTAAGGTACTTTTGGGTGGTGTCAGAATTTCGGTTATCTACAATCACTTCAGTTATACTAAGGACTAGTTTCAAGCCCATTTTACTCTACTTCCTGGAAAACCTGCATGAAGCCATTATCCTATGCTATCTTTCTGAGATGGCCAATATAATCAGTATTTCCTAGTTAATCTGAGGTTACTGACTGTAAAAGTTTGGAAAGTGAGATAGTATATAATCACAACTATTCTTGGAAGCCATGACAACTGATTGAGTTACAATAGTTTACTGACAGTGTATTTATATTGACTCCTTTAAGGGACAGTGGGAGATGCTTACATTTTTTTACTGGTTTCTGCACTGGGTTAACGGGGTCACATATAGTGACAACACATCTCAAGGAGGCAATTTTGAGCAGTGCCTCATACAGGAACTTTACATTTTACCTTATAGTATGGCAGGAAGAGAATGAAGCCATAGGTTTCAATGTTTTTCAATTCTTTACTTCCCACCACAATTCAGCCACATTTATGTAGAAGCATCATCCCATCATCAGACCACTTTCCTCTCTCATTCTGAATTCAAGGATTGTTATTTTAGAATCATACATTTACTTTAAGATACACTGTGCTGGCAAGTACATAATTATAAAATATATCTATTAAGTAAGTAAGTTCCTGCTCTAAATTCACTGGGTTTTCTGAAACAGAAAAGTAAACTTTTATCCAGCATGTCAAAGTCATTCATGAGCTAAAAAGCCTTTAGGAATAAATATTTCCCATGAACATTATTAAAAGGTGAAATTATGAACAACAAAGTATTCCATTCAGAGCATTCTAATCATTCCAGTGTTTGAGAGAGTGAATGTTTTTCAATCATCTAAGATTTTATTCTTCATGTATTTCATCTTCTATAATAGCATACATTATCCAAAAATGTGTGCAATTACTTATCAGCAAACCCAAATGCCATTAGGTTAAACAAAATCCCCTGTATAGCAAAAGGGGTTAACTAGAGTTGTATTAATATAGAAGCCAGGCTTTTAATATTCTGCAAATGTTAACAAAGAAAGATGATAATGTTGAGTTAATATGGGTTAAGCATAAAATGAAAATAAATTTTTCTGATTGCGAGGTGTTGACACTTTTTTGGCTAAGGCCTCCAGCCTGTTCCTGAAAGCTGTGTAATTACAGAAGGCTTTTCCCCTCCTTCCCCCTCCTGCTTCAAGCCTACCCACATTAGTAATGACCCCTTCACTGCTTCAAAAACCACTAATGGTCTTCAGCACAGGCAAGAAAAATGAACAGGATAAATTGGAATCCACAGTCAGTAATTTGCATCCTATGAGGCTGCTTTGGCCACTCACGCTCATTCCTGGCCATCAATCGTTGCCTGTCAGGTGCTGCACTCTGCCACCACGACAGATACTACGCCTAACACTCGGACTCGCCCAAACAATGTAATTGTCCTCTGGTCTCCTTTTAGTAATGGAGATAATGGATGAGTGCATAGAAAAGAGGGATGGCTTCAAACTGGAAAGGGCCTAGGGTGCAGATTTTAATTGAGCAAAAAACATTGGTTGAGGGAAAATGACACACACACAAATTCCCAAATCCTTCTTGTCATGGTATTTTCCTGCCAGACTCCAGAGGAGGACCTTCTGACTTGTCGTCCTTCTGAGATTTTGAAAGCCTAGGTTAATAGGTTATTTACCCAATGGAAATAAATTCTGCCAATAACAAAAAAATGGTAATGAATATAAGGACTCATTGCAAGAGCACGAAGATCTGTGTTGTAACGTCATCTGGTGTGCTGTTTCTTTATGCAGTTTTCTTTTTTGTGTGTTCAGTCTTGTTCACTGTTGTGACACATTTGCCCAAGACAGTTCAGACGGAACGTGGGCTAAAGAGTGTGTGTGTGTGTGTGTGTGTGTGTACGAAGATCTGTGTTGTAACGTCATCTGGTGTGCTGTTTCTTTATGCAGTTTTCTTTTTTGTGTGTTCAGTCTTGTTCACTGTTGTGACACATTTGCCCAAGACAGTTCAGACGGAACGTGGGCTAAAGAGTGTGTGTGTGTGTGTGTGTGTGTGTGCTAGTGCATGTAAGAGACAGAGGCAGACACAGTCACAGACACAGACACAGAGAAGATTTAGATGAAATAAACATTTAGAATGTCAAGAAAGCACAAGAATAGAAAGGTGATGTTAGTGGAGGGCCAATCCCTTCAAGTATGACTAGGAATTTTGATTGACTAACAAGGATTCTTTCCAGGATGTTATTAGAAATTCAGTCAAAGGACCACAAAATAACATAAACAGTACATTTTATTCTTGGGAATCCCTGAGCTGTACTTTCACTGTGAAAGCAGTTACAAATTCCATCCACAATCATTAAAAAAACTGGGACTTTACCAAAATTCACCTTGCACAGAGGGCTCCTTTTTTTTTTAATTAATAGAGAAGACCACAATAACTTTAACTTATTTAAATAACGTTCTGTGGTTTTGAGCATTCGTGATTCTATGCCCCTTTTATGTGTGGAGTGGACTGTTTATCTGAAAGTGTTCTGGCAGTCAGTCACTATATTTCTAAAATTAAAAAGGGATGGAAAACAATCAGCTTTCAGAGGAACTGGAACCATGGAAATGTGCTCTGGATTAATTTACAAATATATGTATATATTTAAGCCCAAACTGTGGAACTAGAGGATTTCTACTACATGGTCTATCATGTGCATTCGTCTACTTTATTAGAACAGACATCATATTGAAATAATAAACATGGGAAGCCTTCACTTCTTCTTTGATGTACATTACTCAATGTCTGACTGGCTCAAATTTAAAATAAACTTTGGTATGTTTGCACTTGAAAACTGGAAATAGACCGCAAGCAATAATTTGTTGTCGGTTTCCATATTCCTGGATTAAAGCTATAGTTTAGTCTGTTCACTGTTGGGGGCCAACCCACTTTGGTCCAGTGGCCCAGAGGTGGCTCAACTTACTCATAAGAACACACATTGTAACATAATAGTGATGATGACGATTCCCTTCATCAAGAAAGAACCAGCATAGGCCAAAGTTTTTCACATTTCAAAATAATTCTAAAGCTACTGTGGAATATTATCAATGGACAACTGTTCAAAAAGTTAAGACATATATGGCTTATGACTCAATATAGATAGAAAATATTTTTTGATTCCCTTTTTTCTAAAGACTCACATGAGAGTAAGATATTATTTTGATTTGAGATACTGAGCTTTAGTTAGGCCTTCTTTTTCCCCCCTTTGGTGATTACCCTGGTTTATTAAGTACATAGAAATTGATGTACAATATCATTAGAATACATTGGAGGAACAGTTTTGGGGCAAAACCACTCAATAATAATCTTTTATGATTAACCCCTCTCCAATGATGTCCAGTTGGAACTGATTTATCATGAACTTTATTCTTGTTGAATGGATTTATACTGATGTTTTAAAATACTTCAAGTAATACTTCTAATCATCTTGTGAATTAGAAGTATATAATAAATGAAAAAGTTAATATTTGGAAGGTGAAAAAATAGGAAATAAACTGTTTATCAACTGGGTCATAGTTAAATAGAACGTGAAGTTCTCATGAAAAGGTTTTCCCTATACACAGTTGAGTGAAAATAGGCAATTGTAGAACATGCATTACCCATTTTTGTAAAATAAATAAATTTTAAAAATTAAATATATACATATCTGTGCTTGCAGTGCAAGAAAAACATCTGGAAAAACACAAACTGAATAATGGTTCCTGTTGAATAGGGCATAGGGGTGGGGGTTTGTTTATATACTCCTATGCTGTTTGAGAGTATATGGCTTCAAATAATTTTTAAAAATCTGGTAGTAATTTAAAATCTATAATTAATTTGTTGTAATTGTAATTAATTTATATACTCCATATATTTTTTTAAACCATAGTAATTTAACCTTTTGAGATACTTAGATATTCCCTTATGCTAACTCTTCCACCATTTTTAAAAGCGGGACATCTTTAGGATCAGTCCTGCCTCTTAAGTTCCTTCTACCTATGAATTTGGCTCACTCACTGGTCTATAAAGCTTATTAGATGAGCTCTTTGAAGAACGATGTGCAATTTGTCTAAGTACTTCTATGATGATGTAATACAAACATTAAGACAAATGATCAAGTAACTTGCTGGACAAAATCTCAGTTTGAGCAAATATTTGGAAACAGGTCATTATGATGACCACTTCCTTTTCCTCAATCCACTCTAAGATCCCATGTATTGTATAGAGTTAATCCAGGTGATCTTGATTCTGATGATGCCCCTATATCTGAAACCCTCTAAGCAACTTCCCTAAGATGGACAATGAAACTGCATTGGATAAATATCATTTATTGCTCTAGGACCTGCTTACTGAATGCGGGTACAAGTAGATGCGCTAAAGACAGCCCTGAATTTAAAAATGCATTTTCTTGGAATGTCAAATTTATTCAGTGGTCATTAATCTAACACCTTTTTCTTACATAAACAAAAATCCTTATGCTATGATTAGAATATATGCTACATATGAAATTTGAAGATAAAACAAGATATTTATAGCCCATCACACCCTCATAGTTAGAGGTAGTCTTTCTGCTAAATTTATGAATATATATTTATAAAATTGTATTCATAATTTTATAGCCTTTCATTGTCATATCTTATTCACATATCTTGTCTTTATTAAGTATAACTTTCTGAGGGTAAAGCCTTGGT